TAAGTCTTTTCTAAAAGTGTTTTTAGAAATTGTTAGGCTTAATATTTATGATAAAAATCACACTATTTTAGCAGGTAATTCTTTGTTTATCAGTTTTTGTGTATGTCGACACATGCTGTTGAAACCGTTAATCATTGACAACGTATTGACACACTAATGTGAATCTTTGTCACTAAAGATATCATTGTTTTTTCATTTGCTTTTTAGTTTAATTTCAAATTGGAGGTGTCTGTAAAAAATAACATTTCAGATCTTTCTTCTGTCTACGACATTCACTAGGCAGGAGGCCCTTCATGTAATAGCAGAACTCGTATGTCAGCTGGGCTGGATCAGGATGCAGTCAAAAGTTTATCTGAAATGTTATTTATACGTCTTAAAAAGTAAAATAAATTAATATTATGGTGTTAAATGTCAAAAACTGCTAAAGCATTGAAACAAATAATCCTAATATTTGTGCCAACCACCGGGGCATTAGCCTCACACCAGTTATAAGCAGGCTGTTAGCCGCTCTTTTACATGCGCCGACTCACCCCAGATAGAGAAAAGGGTATAAGAGAGGAGCAAGCGGGATTCAGACCCAGTAGGGGTGCATTGACCACATCTTCACCCTTCGACAGATCCTACAGCAGAGACATGCGTACAGACAACCGACCATCGCCGTATTCTTGGACTTCAGGGGAGCATTTGACTCGGTAGATAGACAGGCCCTTTTTGCGACACGCAGACCAATGGCTGTTAACTCTGCAGGATATGGCGAGAAACCGGGCTCAGTGGCGGTCGTGCTATAGGCATCTTATTGGTTTGTCTGCCCAATCTTGTCTGTCTGCCAAGTCCACTGGCGAGCGAGGCATGTTATGATGCGTGGCAGTGAAAGCCGCAAGGAAGCTGTCGTGCTGATGTCGCTGGACTCGCCCAGAGGACTTGTCCCAAGTGCTTGTGTATGCATGGCTTAGATGCTGTGCCCCCGCCTGTATGTGCTATACCATTTCCGTATTCATGGCGTGTTAGATCCCACTTTTGTCCCCATTTTCTTGTAATAATAATTAATGATTGTGTGGCAGCTAAGCATCGGTAGAATTATCGATGTACTGCTGTCTATGATGATGATGATGAATATTTGTGATAAAATTAATGTTAGACTGCAGAAGATTTTTTTTCCTCTGTCTTTCTCTATTATTTTATCTGCCGATAGGCAAATAATTTAGTAATATAGAGGTATTGCAAATTTATTGTTAGCAGTATGGAATGAGGTGGTGTGAGCCTACACTGTGACAATATCATTGAAGTCATTCAAGGTCATGTCCTTCAACCAAAAATTACCAAGATTGTTTCACAACAACAAGTTAAAGGAATAAAAGCAGATGAGGTATACATCCTAACAGTATTACAAAATAGTGGGACAAGTAGTCAAAATGTGCCAAATTCCAAAATGTTGGCTTCATTCTCAATACTGGTTGTTTTTCTTGGTCTGCCTGTAGTATGCAGGTGCTGACACATATTTTTCTGTCATCCGATGTGAAGCAGTGTTCACGCATAACTTTTGTTTAGCTAGCGAGCCACGTTAGCCCCCAAAACATGTATTTCTAGGGGCCAATCCTATAGTTCATTGCAAAATCTACTCTGTAGTGGAGGTTGTCAGAAAAATCACTGAATTAAGTAGCGGATGTTATGTGAATTTAAAGGAAACTAAATATATTCAATTTATTTTGTTGTGAACTCATATTTCATGAACAAAAAAACAAGTCAAACCATTTCATTTTTGTCTTTAGTAAAAATACTTCATTAACGAAACTGATTTTTTTTTTGTGTGTGTACAAATGTTTAATAAACATCTGCAAAATTTTTTGAGGATACACATACTGTATTCAAAGTTATATTATTAAAACTTTATACTGGTACAAAATGTTCACATGGTTGGTCCGTGGGACTGAACCCGTATCGAGAGAGAGTTAACATAATAAGATATTTATGAATTTCCTCTGATTTTAATTTTTTTCTTTTCCTGTGTCATCCATAGACCATGGGCCCCTGGTGGTCATCCAAACAGCCTAAGCCTTAATCCGCCACTGATTACGCTGATACAGAAAGTTTGAATATTAGACAAAGTGATGCCATTCTTATTAATGAAAGTGTATTTATTTTGAATATACAGGCATTCATAGTGACAACGTTTGTGGATTGTAAATGAGTGATGAGTGTTTGTAAATTTGGGAATGTCCATTCACGGTCTGTCATAGGTTCTGCTCGGTTAAGAAATGCTTAGATCAGTTTATGGGGAGTCAAACTTTTAATGGCTCTTAAATTTAAGGGGCCACATGGGCTACCGAGCAGACACTTTTTATGTGCCCACTGGCATTTTTGGGGATTTATTGGCTCCCAGGCCCCCGCTAATTTCGAATCCTGTGAAGGACGATATTCATCTGGAAACTCAAGCATTCTGCTTACACTCTTCATAAAATAGGATCAAGATAAACTGTCCTTCATCTGAATACCGTGCTATTATTTAGATGACTTGGGAGCAACTGCTGCACAGTGCTTGTGTGCTTCCTTATGTTGAAGTTTTTATTATATATTTTATTTTAATACTCCTTAAGTTTTTGAGCCCTTCATTTACCAATATCATTCCGAAACAACAACAATTATAGACATAAATGCATTCCCTCCATGCATATGGAGTAGTGTCAGAAGGAGATTCACCTCTTACCACAACAAAGGCTGTTACACAAACCTAGGATTGAAGAGCAAAGTCACACCTTTAATATTACTTTTCAGTTACCTACAACACTATACATTAAGAACTTGTAATAGTATGTACATAATCTAATATCACTATGGTGAATTCTAACATATTGGATACAGTTAAAAATATTTAGAAACAATGCTATATCTTATAAAAGTGAAAACTGAGAATATTTGTAGTCAAACATACTTCAAAAAGAAAAATCAAGTCTTTTAAGACACACATATAGAGAGAGTCAGATGTCCAGTGACAGGAAAATAATTCAGAAATGTAGAGGTATAGAAAAATAATTGTTAGATGTATGGAATGAGGTGTGAAAATGCCACTGATGTCATTCAAGGTCACCTACAAGGTCATACGTTCTAATATTACTAATCATTAGTGAAGTATACCAAAACACACTAAGTTCAAAGAATTATCATTTTAAAACAGTTCTAATATTACCAATCATTAGTGAAGTATACCAAAACACACTAAGTTCAAAGAATTATCATTTTAAAACAGTTCTAATATTACCAATCATTAGTGAATCATACCAAAACACACTAAGTTCAAAGAATTGGTTTGCTTTGCACCACATATTTGTTTTAAAATGATAATTCTTTGAACTTAGTGTGTTTTGGTATGATTCACTAATGATTGTTAATATTAGAATTGTTTTAAAATGATAAAGAAATTGGACAATTTATTTATTTTTTGAATCAGGTTTGATTATAATAACAAAAAATAATAATGAATATTTCAAATGATCAACCCATGTGTCAACAGGGAGGGATCTACTACTTCAAGTTGATGGATCATTATCTTTCAGTAATATTGGTTGTTGTCATTGCTACTCTTGAACTTTGTACCTTGTCCTGGTTGTATGGTAAGTTTTGAAAGACAAACATTTCTGTATATGCCATATAAAGTGTTATAAGATCACCTTACCTTTTTCTTGAATAATTTTAATATGTAAGCAAAAACTATTGGAAAACACCACCATAGCATCTTATTTTTCTTTAGTTTTTACCATATTAGTAGATTAGAAACACAATAAATTATAAATGCTTTGCCTAATGGCCTTGAAATGGATATTAAAAGAATGAACCTTGAAAATGTGTCACTGAAGCCTTAAAAAGTGTATGAATCCTGCTGTCAACTGCTAAGTAGGCCATTCTTTAACATTATGGGAATGTATTACAGTGAAAAATAATTACCCAGAATACATTATATACTTATAATTTGAAAAAAAAAGACCTTTATATTGTTATTTCATTGAAAGTGATACACAATCTAGTGTTCAAAAGTTGAGAACGTCTATTTCAATTTTCATCAGCTCTAGAAGGTCTCACTTTGATATTCATAGTTGAATAAAATTGTGATTCAAGTGCTTTATTTATTGTGAGTAACATGGGTTTAACTTTATCTCTCCAAAGGTCTCCACATTGTCTGTTACTGCTGATAAAGATTTCTTAAATTATTCTGGAATTCTTTGATAAGGACTTTTCACACTGAATCAATGATCTGTAGTTTGTAGGGTGATTTTAACTAAAATATGCAATCTATAAATCAAATTTCCCAATTTTACCGTTTTCCTGAAAAATTCAAGATGACTAAGTAGCACGATAACAGTGACCTGTTCTAAACTGGAATTCTGTAGACATAAGATTATTGCATTTCATGTTTGTGTATAAAATATCGGTTGGAGATGTGGGAATTATTTCTAACCCTCTAGTTCTTTTTTACTTTCTTTAGTTTCAGCAAAATTATCTTTTCAACCCTTTTTTTTTAATTCTAACAGCCTTTGATCCCATTTTCTCTCGTATGTTTCCTTATTGTACAATTTTACATCATGTTTTACTGTATTCTGTGTGTTTCAGCTCTGCTTGTATGTATACTTTATATTAAACATTCTGTGATTTGTAAATGCTAAGTAAAGGTGATAGTTGCAGTTTAAACTAACCATATTACATTAACCTAGTCAAGTGACATATGTGGTGTCAGCATTTTTAAACTGCAGAATTTGGAAATGAATTAGGCATATATCACACGGTTAGTTCTGGATGAGGTAATACTTTGAGATGAAGAATTTAGAAGTGAAGTTGGTGTAAACCACATGGCTAGTTTTGGATGAGGTAATAATTTGAAGTAGGAGTTGGAAATGAATTGGGCATAAATTACACAGCTAGTTTTGGATGATGTAATATTTTGAGCTACAGGATTTGGAAGTGAAATGGGTGTAAATCACACAGCTAGTTTTATATGAGGTAATACTTAAGACATTAAGAATGTGGCTTCAAAGTATTATGAAAGCTGTCATAAGGGATACAAAAACTGGAAAGTAATGCATTAGAAAAATTTGGGCAAATATGGTATGCAAGTTTCCTGTTTTTCAAGTGCCAGTTGCAAGATTTTAAAATGAACATCACTCATAAAAGTTTTGGGAAACTTATGTTGCACTTGATATTTCATCAAATGTTTTTAATGTGTCCACTGTGTTAGCCGTCGTAGTGTGATGAAGGAACTATAGTATGGGTTATTCATACAGTTGTTACAAAAACAGGGTTATCGCAAACCTGGAAACATCTGGTTAAAGTTACAGAATAAAAAAAAGGGGGTGATAAAATAAACAAAAATTGAAAAATTATCCAAAAACCTCAAAACCTACATGCACATGTAAATCAAGTTTCTCAATTATACTGTTTACTGATATGTTGTAACAATTTTGATCAGTCACTCTGTTATTTTATCTGGTGTTAATTATCGTAATATTTTATAATAGTATAGATGCTATTTTTTGTTTTATTTTATACATAAAATTGTAACATTTTATTGCCTATGTTTGAAGATCTTTTTTTTATGTAGTACCATATTCTGAAGTTTTTATTACAGTTTAACCAGGTTATACACTAAATTGATGTTAATGAAGAAGATTTATGAGGAAAAAATTTAAATATTGGGGTTGGAAAATCTGGAATTTTGTTGAAAGATGGTAGGAAAAAAATTTTACAAGAGTGTCATCAATATGAAAAAACACTTGTAGTAGCATTGGATGTAATAAATTATGAAGCAGCTAACAAAATATGATTGTAAGTATTGTGACATCAATAATTTGCAGTGTGTAGTTACAGAGAGTTTTGTATTACAGGAGTGAAGCATTTGGTTGCTAACATCCGACAGATGACAGGAAAGATTCCATCTCTCTATTTCATTGTATGTCTCTACTGTGTGGCACCAGTTATTATGCTTGTAAGTTAGTATACATATAAACACACACGTATACATACTGAGGCTTGGTGTAAATTTACTAATGTGATTAATATTGTTCATATGTTTTAATGTGATGTCAGTATTTGTAGCTAATAAATTGTAGAGACTCCTGTTTTTTTGTACCTTATTCCTAATCTGATGATGATCTAAGATTGGTAAAAAGATCACTGTTAGCAGGCATTTGATGTCTAATGAACAGTTTGTTACTTTTATCAGTTTATATGTCCAGATATTAATAAGCCTACTTAGTAATATAATGTTGATAAAGACATGAAATTTTTAACTGTAATTATACTCTTTTTGCACTGCCACCAGGCTTTTAATGTTTTAATCAATTAAAAACAGTCTTATTAGTTTTAATAAGCAGGGGATAAATCTGGTCTTTTAATAAAAACTAACGAATCATTACTTATACATCGAGATAACTGATAAAGTTTGAGTTAACCAACATTGATTGACTAAAATGAATATAGAATTATACTTGTCTAAAAGACTAGATTAAAAATGTATTGTTAAAAGAATAATAGGGATTTTCTAGGATTAGAAGAGTATCTAGTAATAGTATTTCAACCCCATTGTATTCTTCTGTTGCTGATGACACATTTCACTCAATCCAGAGCTTCTCAGGCTGGCTGGGATACAGTAAACACAGCCATTCATTACAACAACAATTGTTGTGGTGTGAATGCCTTTACAAGTTGGTGAAACATGACTATAACTAATTACACTTGTCATAAGACATTATGTTAGGTCTATTATTATTATTTTACTGTGTTCATTGTCTCTCGCCAGCCTGAGGAACTTTGGATTGAGCAAAAAGTGTCATCAACAATGGATATAATGGATGTTGTGTGGTTGAAGTTCTATTATGTATTATTATTATTATACATTCTTCTAATTGTTGAAAATCCATAAGGGACTAGATTAAGAATGTAGTGTTTACAAATGTAATAGGCCTAACATAATATCTTATGAAAGGTATAATTAGCTATAATCATGCTTTGACAGCTTGTAAAAGGCATTCTTACCATAACAATTGTTGAATATAGAAAACTAAACCCTGGGAAATTTAGGAGTTCATCATCTTGCTTAACTTGTTCCATCAAGATTAAGGAGTTAATCAGTACTGTTTAATTAATGATAAATAAGCCAGTGTGGATGAAGAGTTAACCAGCAACATGGAGCTGAAGGATTTAGTCATTAATAAATTTCATAAGTTGAACAGTCAAATCCATTAAGTGACCTAGTACATTACTAAAATATCCCAGTCATGTAAAAGGACATAGACCACTGAGGTACAGCAGATTTTTAGATGAGCTCAAATATTCCAAGTCATTTGATATTTCATTGCATCACTATCATCACTTTGTTCTTATTCTAATACAAACCATGCATGGAGCATTAATGTTGCATTAGAGATTCACATATTTCCACTGCAAGGTATTAGTTTATGTAGAAGAATCAAAAGCTGTGTAAGATTCCTTGTAATTATAACCCAGTACATTCCAGGAACAAAGTTTTAGACAATAAAGTACTAGGTATGTGTGATTAGGGTAAACTTTTGATTGAATTTATGTCCAAATGAAAACTTCTTATAACCCAGTACATTCCAGGAACAAAGTTTTAGACAATAAAGTACTAGATATGTGTGATTAGGGTAAACTTTTGATTGAATTTATGTCCAAATGAAAACTTCTTATAACCCAGTACATTCCAGGAACAAAGTTTTAGACAATAAAGTACTAGATATGTGTGATTAGGGTAAACTTTTGATTGAATTTATGTCCAAATGAAAACTTCTTATAACCCAGTACATTCCAGGAACAAAGTTTTAGACAATAAAGTACTAGATATGTGTGATTAGGGTAAACTTTTGATTGAATTTATGTCAAAATGAAAACATCTTATAACCCAGTACATTCCAGGAACAAAGTTTTAGACAATAAAGTACTAAATATGTGTGGTTATGATAAACTTTTGATTGAATTTATGTCCAAATGAAAACTTCTTTCTGCATTGTTATCACCATGATATATTTTTAATAATTAACAGCAGGTGTTAATAGTGTAAACACGCATCCAGTTCATTTGAAATATTGGTACGTGAAAAGGAATATACTTGTCATTTTAAGTTGTATCTTTTTAGTTTAGTAAAGTTTTGAGTGTTATATGTATGTGCATGTGATTATAACAGTTATCATTTTTAAAACATTTTAATGGGAAAGGAGTCGCTTCTAAACCATACTATTATACACAACTGTGAAAGTAACTCTATAATTTGTTCATTGTTCGATAATTTTTTTTGCTGTTTGTAATTTTCCTGTATTGGATTAAGAGTAACTGTATATATCTTATATTTTTGAGGATTGAAAATTTTTTCTTTTAAATAGAAGAATAACTGTTGTTTTAACAAACTTTATTCTGATCAGTAGTGACCAATGACACTTTTTCTTCACTTCACCTATAAAGTGTATAGGTTTTCTTCATAGTGAATACAAAGCACTTTCACACTATCAGTATGTTTAATACATTTCACTATGATATAGGTCCAGCTTATCTCTCTTTGGTTAACTTGTGTTCAGGGTTACTGATGAGAAGTAGAATTCTCCGAAACTAGCATAACCCAATAACACGTGTTGATCAAAGTGTAGATTGAACTGGTCCTCCCTTGAACTTAGACTTAAAAATTAAACAGTTTTTGGAATACTAAGTTTATTTATTATTGTACGATATCAGAAACAAATCAAATGTTATCAATTGTTTCATTTGTTGTCTTCACTAACCCTAACTTAACTTTTTTAGTCTGTATTAAAATGTTATATTATTATAACACTTCAGGAAGGGCTGATTGTTAATTGATCACTATCAACTAGGGATACACAGATAGTAAAATTTGGCCAATTACCAGGTCCGAGTACCTGGTCACTAAGCTTTCGCTGGGGCTGGGTTGCCCCCCAAAAAAAAAACAATATAGCTGAGACATTTGGGTTATAGCTATGTATGCATTAGGAATACTATATGATAAAAATAACTACCAATTAAAGCAAGGCTTAAGATGCAACATGTTTCTGTATTTGTTCTATTAAGAATCCTTTGTTTTTTAAAAAATCTGGTTTTACTAAAGCCATCTAGAACTTCTAATGTAATCCAGACTTAAGATACAACATGTTTCTGTATTTATTCTATTAAGAATCCTTTGTTTTTTAAAAAATCTGGTTTTACTAAAGCCATCTAGAACTTCTAATGTAATCCAGACTTAAGATACAACATGTTTCTGTATTTATTCTATTAAGAATCCTTTTTTTATAAAACAAATAACTGGTTTTACTAAAGCCATTTAGAACTTCTATGGGATCCAATGTAAAAGGTTTTGTTTTTTAACTCTTGCAGGTGATCATTATTTACTATAGCATTCAAGATGGTGGAATGCCAACTCAAAGAAGCTACCATTACCCCGTGTGGAGTCACATCCTTGGAGGATTATTTGTGGGACTGAGTCTCAGTTCACTTCTCATTCTGGCTGTGCAGGCATTTAAGAATGCACCAAAAGCCAATATTTTCTCTGTAAGTTAAATTTTGTCTTTTTTTTTTCTTACAAACCTAGTTTTAATTCCCTTTA